CGAGTCCCTCCTCTCCCTCGCCTGCTCCGCTGGGTACTATGAACTCGCCCAGGTGTTGCTCGCGATGCACGCCAGCGTCGAGGACCGCGGCATCAAGGTATGTAATTATGATAACACTAGCTGTTATTCGCGATTTCACCCGCGTGAAATAAAAAAAAGTAATAAAAAATATGGCACACATAAATGGTATCACCTTTCTAATGGTGAAAGAATTTATGAAATCGGCCCAGTAGTTTTTACGTGAATCGAATACATAGAAAAATCCAAAAATACAAATCTTTCCTCTTTATAATATTAGTATAGGTTATGCTTATCTAGTAAGTAAAAGTAAGTATGAAGATTCAACGGATGTAAGGTGTCCAAACGTGTGTGTTTAGTAAGCCCATTTTTGACAAAGTCGAGATGGGTAAGTGAAATATAAGTGACCAATATAGTAAAAATATGTTTTTTGTGAATATATTGACAAATCCCATTTATACATTTTAATTAAAAAGTCATGTAGCATATTAATGCAAATGTATTGCAATTATATAAGAGATGGTTATGCAACACCCGAGCCTGATTCACCCGATTTTGCGTGACGAGTTAATGTGATAATTGTCACAGGTGTGGGCCTTTATTTTTAACTGTACCCCTCCCTACCCATTTGGAAATTAGGTCAGTAGTATTTTGCCTGGTTTTTCAGTAACTATTACCTGACGCAGATTGCAACTATACACGTTAAATATTGATGGTTTATCGTTAATCTTTTATGATGAGGAAATATATTTTGATTTCTCTTATCAGATAAGAATCAATAATGCCGACAAATCGCCCATAGGTTCAAATTCTATATTTATTTGCATAGTTACTATCTAAGCTTTAGTTTCCACTGTGGATATTTGAACAGAAACATGTTTTCGTACGTACATTTTTATAAGAACATAGATTTCAGATATAAATGTCAATGAGTCAAAGTAGATCGTTTCTCTTAATTAAAATTTTTTTCAAAATCGATTTGCCTCTAATTATTCAAAATGCAATCATTACGTGAAATAAGGTAATTGTAGAAAAATGGTGTATAGTAATATTTTACGTTTGAGAGGTAAATGCAAATTTTTATTTTTAATAAATAAGATACAAGTAGTAAGTACCGTCTGTAAGTGATAAGGAAATAAATAACAAGTATGAGAATGAGGAGAATATTGAAAGGAATGCGACGAAAACGAGTGAGTTGTTTTTGACATGTGTAAAGTTAGTTTTATATACACATACTTTTGTTTTTTGAGGTCAGTGTTTTGTGCGTGCAAGGAGTTTCTTAAAATCTTCGTGGCTTTTTTATATTTTGATGCGTTATCTGTGAAGTGCGTTTGTTTTGTGTTAATATAGGTAGTTTACATCTAATTAGTGTTTTATATCAAGCTTTGTTTTATGATGACCTTCTAATTTACACCAAAAAATACTTAAATCTGGGTTTTCGAGTGCGTTTGTAAACATAGTACCTACATGTGACAGTATGCAAACTTAGTTGTTATATTATCTTAAACGAAGTATGTAATTCTTTTGCCCTTCCTAGCTTTTCCACTACAAGTATTTAAGTGTGAAGTTTGGTTATGTTAATTGTGTTGTGTTCAGGGCGATTGCACGCCCCTGATGGAGGCGGCGAGCGCGGGGCATGTCGACATCGTGCGGCTGCTGGTGGCGCATGGCGCGGATGTTAACGCTGTTTCCACCTCCGGCAACACGCCGCTCATGTACGCCTGCGCCGGCGGACACGAGGACTGCGTCCGCGCGCTGCTCGACAACGGCGCCAACGTCGAGGACCACAACGAGAACGGACATACGCCGCTCATGGAGGTGAGTAACAGACACCACAGAGTCAGTCACTGTCGTCAAGTGTATATTTAGTAAAGCAATTGCTCGCAATAATTTAAAAATAATAACAAATCTAGCCTATGTTATTCACTGATAACGCAGCTTTCTAATGATCATTTCTAATGATTTTTGAAATCGGCCTAGTAGTTTTTGAGTTATTCCATACAAAAATACAAATCTTCTTCTTTCCTCTTTATAATATTGGTATTGATGAGAAATATACAGATCAATTAGGGTTAGACCTCAGAGATCAATTAGGGTATATGATCCTTAGAACTTACAGTACTAATTTATACATGACTAGAGGAAAAAAGGGTTAGTTGACACAAGTTTAGTAACATAAAAATTTAAATTTTCGACTAAACAAATATATACTTGATGGCCATCGTCACACATCCTATTCCATTAATAAAAGATCACTTCACAAATGTTTTAAAAACAAAAGAAAATATTGTTAATGTCATTATTCCGTGTACGTAGGCGGCGTCCGCCGGTCACGTGGGCGTGGCTAAGATCCTCCTGGAGCACGGCGCGGGCATCAACACTCACTCGAACGAGTTCAAGGAGTCAGCGCTGACGCTGGCGTGCTACAAGGGCCACCTGGACATGGTGCGCTTCCTGCTGGCCGCCGGCGCCGACCGCGAGCACAAGACCGACGAGATGCACACCGCACTCATGGAGGCCAGCATGGACGGACACGTCGAGGTCGCACGCCTACTGCTCGACTCGGGCGCACAGGTAACATAATAACGGTTTAATTTGTTTAAAAATATAGATAATGTATAATAAAGCAATTTTTTCTGCCTTCAAGTTAAGCGGCTATTCCCGTGCGGCTTCATCTGCACAGAATTATAAAAGCTTTATTTTGTTTACATTTGTCAAATTCTCATGGCAAATATCAAAATTCATATTCACAAAGTCATCAACAAAGGCCTTTGACATTTAATAACAGTAACCGTTACCATGGCAACCTTGCATTGATGTTGTCAGCTTATGGTCCCTTTCCCACATAAAGGTTTTTTTTTTTTCAATTTATATAATCTCCTAAGGTTAATAGCGTGAAAATGTACAGGATAAGGCGTGTCGTTATTGAGGGCTTTTTATCAAATAAAGTATTATTCAAAAACATGCAGTGAATGTTGACATCATACGCCACTAGTAGTGTGTATTTAGTATTTATGCTTTAGTATATTAGTATAGATGCATCTTTATTATAATACAAATATGTGTGTATGTAAGGTGAACATGCCGACGGACAGCTTCGAGTCGCCGCTGACGCTGGCGGCGTGCGGCGGGCACGTGGAGCTGGCCATGCTGCTGCTGGAG